GCTCGCTCCCTTCGAGTAGAGAGGATCGACTACAGACTTGGAATGTATTTCTCCGCCGAGCCCATCGAACAGTCAGCAGATCCACGGAGCACTGTGAGCAGGTGCCGTAGCGATCGGCGGGAGAGCAATTCTTGGGGGCAAGGGCGATTCTGCCGCCGATCCCCTGCTCGATCTCTGGAGCCCTCGCTCTTCTTGCCTCCCCCTTCTCCCCCCGCCTCTTGGGCAGTCTCTCGGGGGGGGGTCCTGCCCGGTGCGTGGAGTCGGCGGGCTGTCGTTCCGCATGGCCCCCCTCTCCACGCCTGGCTCTGCCTCTATCCCTGCCTCCCTCCTCCTCCTCCTCCTTCTCCTCCTCCTCCTCATCATCATCCTTCTCCTCCTCCTCCTCCTCCTCCTCCTCCTCCTCTATGCCTTTTCGGGCGCTCCCCTTCCATCCCTGCCTCGTGGACGGACACCAGATCGGGATCCGCGGTCTCGCGGGCTGCTGGGCCCCTGAGCCGCGCTTCTTTTGGGACACAAGGCGTGCTTTCGCGGTTGTTCCGCGCGCAGGACGCATCCCCTCGACCGCGCATCCACACATCGCGCCTCGGCGTCCAGATTGCGACGGGTCGGCGGCGTCGTCGCCCCCCTTCCCTTCCCTTCCCCCTCCTCCCCTGCTTCTCCCTCCCTCCCTCTCCTCGGGCCGGCGCCTGCGTCGGCGGCGGCTGCCGGCGGCGGCGGCGGGGACGACGACTTCGTTTTCTGAGCCAGCGCCGGCGCCTGCGGCGGCGGGCGGCGACGGCGGGGAGCGTCGACGAGGACGACGGCGATGACGATGACGACGACGACTCTCCGCAATCGTGCGTTGGTTGGGTCAGAGTCCTAATGGATGCCTCTTGGGGTCTCGTCGGAGGGCTCTCGGGGGCCTCTGAAGGGCATTTGTGCAGCCTCCTGGGCGTCTCTTGGGGCCTCTCTGAGTTGTTGTTGGTGGTGGTGGTGGTTGTGGCGGTGGTGGTGGTGGTGGTGGTGTGGTTGGTGGTGGTGGTGGTTGTGGTGGTTGTGGTGGCAGGTGGTGGTGGTGGTGGTGGTGATGGTGGCGGTGGTGGTGGTGGTTCGGTGGTTTGTGGTGGTGGTGGTGCTAGTTGCGGCAGTGGTGGGTTACGGTGGTGGTGGCGGTGGCGGTGGTGGTGGTTTGTCGTGGTGGTTGTGGTGGTGGTGATGGTGGTGGATGTGGTGGCGGTGGTGGGTTGTGGTGGTGGTGGAGGCTGTGGTGGTGGTATGGTGGTTTCTGGTGGTGGTGGTGGTAGTAGTGGGTTGTGCTGCTGGTAGTGGTGGTGGTTGTGGCGGTGGTGGTGGTTGTGTGGTAAATTGTGGTGGTGGTGGTGGTGGTGGTGGTGGTGGTGGTGGTGGTGGTGGTGGTAGAGATGGTGGGTTTTTGTGGTCGTGGTGATGAGTTGTGGTGGTGGTGGTTGTGGTGGTGGTGGTGGAGGCTGTGGTGGTGGTGGTGGTTGCTTGGTGGGTTGGTGGTGGTGGTGGTGGGTTGAGATGGTGGTTGTGGTGAAAGTGGTGGTGGTGGTAGTGGTGGTATAATCGTCGCTGCGTCCCCGCCGTCGGCGCTGCTTGCCGCCCCCCGTCGCCGGCGCTGGCGTCGTGGGGGGGGTTGGAACTCCACCCCCCGCCTTTGGGCTGCCTCTGGTCATCGTCGTTGCGTCCCCGCCGGCGGCGCTGCTGGCGGCCGCCAGCGCCAGCGCCGGCGCCGAAGGGAGGGGGGGGGGGTTTGAACCTCCCCCCTTTGGGAGGGGGCGGGGGGGGTTCGGGAGGGGGGGTGTTGGGGGGGAGGTGAGTCCCCCTGGTTCTGATCGACGGCGCCGAGTGTTGGGGGGGGCCCACCCCTCGGTTCGAAACGCGTCGTCGAATGTTCCCAAGGCAGGCGCCCGTGAAACGCGCTCTCTCCGAGGTGATGGTGCAGGTGGTTATGCTGGAGGAGGTCGAGGCGACACCACCACCAAGGTCGCCACCCCCCGCGAGAAGATCCACCATTGCTTCCCCGAGCTGGGGCACTGGGGCGCCTCGAGCGGGGTTGGGCGGGCCGCGCCACCATGAGGACTCCCCCCTGTGGCTCCTCGTGCCGGTGGTGGTCCTGTCGTCCCCCGCCGCCTGCGCCCGCCTCCTTCCGAGGTGGTGGTGGTGGTGGTGGTGGTGGTGGTGGTGGTGGTGGTGGTGGTGGTGGTGGTGGTGGTGGGTTGTTGTGCAGACCGACCTCGCGTGCCTGTAGCAGGGCTGCCCCCCAGCCACAGCAGTGCCAAGATGATGTCAAGGACCTTCCAGCTCGGCAGCCCGAGGAGGTTCGAGGCTCACGCACAGTGAGAGGGCGGCTGTGCTGGTGATGGCGGTGCTGATGGTGACGCTGGTGGTGACTGTGGTTGTGGTGGTGGTTGTGGTTTTGATGCTTGTGGAGATGGCGACGTGCCCGCCGGAGATGCTGCGCCGAAGTGTCGACGTTGCGCCCCCCCTTCCCTGTGAGGACGGTTCAGTCTTCTTCGTCTTCCTGGCGCTGGGGCTCTGCGCCTCCCAGCCGGAGCCGGCCGAGGAGGGCCCCTTCAGGAGGCCGCCGCGACACGCCGTCGGCGCCGACAGCGCCAACGTGGACGCGTCGACGACGTCGACGACAGCCCACGACGACGCCGCCGCCGACGGCGGCGGGAGTTCTCTCGCAATTTGCCAGCATCCGGGGGCTGCCCGCTACCGGGCGCAGGGTGAAACCACCTCTTCTCGGGCGATGGCTGGCCACTGCTCTGGGTCGGGGGGCCCGTGCCCCGGGGCGGCTCCGGCACCGCTCAGCGATGTGCTGCCTGACCAGGCCTGCGGTGCGCTTCAGCTGTGGCCTCGGCCGCAGCTGCGGGTGCACTTCGAAGCGCCTTCGGGCCTTCTCGCCCGAGTCGTTGTTCTGCTCGCGCGTGTGCCTCCATCCTTCCCTTCTCCCTCCTCCCAGGTGGATGGGGGACCCTTGATTGTCACCGAAGGCAGGGAGTGGCCAGCCGCCTTCCCCGAGTCCCCCCCAGACATCAGGCACCTCTCAACATAGCAGGGGCGGCATGTCTCGGCGACAGTTATGGCATCTGGAATCCCGCGCCGGGCTTCGGGACCGTCAGGAAGACTTGGGATGGGCAACTGGCCCCAGGGGAGGAGTCTAGAGGTCGGGGGGGACCCACGCATCGAACAAGACGAAACGCTGGATGCCTGGGTGGGTCCTGGGAGGAGGGGATGGAGGGGGAGCAGGGGGAGGAGGGGGAGGAGGAGGCGGTGGCCGAGGATAAAGAGCGGATGGAAGAGGAGCGGGGTGAGAGGAGGAGATGAGTGTGGATGATGAGGCGGACGAGGAGGAGCAAGGGGGGTTCGCACCTCCTCAAGACTACTCCCCCTCCCTCGTCCCCTCTCTCCCCAAGGGCGTCGCGCGGCCACGCCGTCTGGGGGACCTCGGTGCCGCAGACGGGGCGGTTGCGCTTCCTCCTGGGTGCATGCCCTCGACGGGCCGCGTTGCACCCCAAGCCGTCCGAAACAGCCCCCTCTCCTCTCGGGCGCGGCCTGACCTCGGGCCGAACGAGAGGGGGGGATAGGGAAACGGGGGGGTACGAAATCTGCTGCGTGCAGCTGGTTTCAGCCCCACCGAGGGGCCCATTCCTCCATACACGGGCGCCTCCCGGCGCTGGGAGGCGCCGGGAAAATCAGCTACGTGAGCTGATTCTCGAACTCCCCCTTTGCTATCCCCCCTTTCGCCCGGCCCGATAACCGACCCCTGGCGATCCGTCTTTGTTCCGTCACGTCACTCTCGCCTCCTCATCTTCCCTCCGGACCGCATGCCTTCGCCTTTGGGGCGAGGCGAGGGGGACGGCACGGACGGGGATGGGCTGCCAGGGGGTCGGTCGAGCCGCTCCTGAGGGGCCGATTTGCCACCAAGGAGGAGGAGGAGGAGGAGGAGGAGGAGGAGGAGGAGAAAGAGGAGGAGAAAGAGGAGGAGGAGAGGAGGAGGAGAGGAGGAGGAGGAGGAGGAGGAGGAGGGAGCAGGAGGAGGAGGAGGAGGAGGAGGGGGAGGAGGAGGAGGAGGAGGAGGAGGAGGAGGAGGGAGGAGGAGGCGGAGCAGGCGGACCCACCCATCCCCCGTCCTACCCATGGCCCCTCACCTCCCCGCCCTCCGCGGGGCCGCCGCCAGGCACGTCCTGGCCGCCGCCCTCCGGCTGGAGGAGAGACCCCCCCGCCGCGCGGGCGGCTCCCGGCGGCGGCCGGGAGAGCCCGGCCAGCCCACGAGAGGAGGGGAGCGGCTGCGGCGGCCCCAGGCCTTCGTCGGCTGCCGGCTTCAGTGGCCACGGTTCGGGATCGGTTCGCGGGCCCCTCCCTCCAGCAGCGGCGCAGCGTCCTGGCTCCTCCAGAGAGGCCCAGCAAAGAGTTGGGCTGCAGGAGCTGTGGTCAGAACATGTCGTGGGCTGCAGTAGCTGATCTCAGAGCAGTTCTGGCGGAGGCTGCCCTGTTATGACGCATCGGGGTTTAGGTTCGAAGAAGATGCTGGGACCTTAGGACACTTTGGGGTTCTAGGACTTAACAAGCACACATTGCTCTTAGAACATTGTTGGCTTAACACACATTGTTCTTAGAACGCTTGTGGGCTTTAAGACATTCCCGTGGTAAGCCTATAGGAATGGCAGGACGGCCGGTCCCTGCTCAGTCTGAGCGACGAAAGAAAACAGGGTCGTCTGCGCCGACATTGGCGCGTGAGCTGCCCGCGGAAGGTCGCTCGGAAGCGCCCCCGTCTCCAACACAGCGTGCCGCGCTTGCGGCCCGCATGAGCCACCGCGTAAGGTCGCCGTGGTATCTCGCGCAAGATCCGTTTTCGATCGTCGCTCATCGCTATGTACATCCAGACCCCCACCATCTCAGCACCCCAGTTGAGAAAATACCCGTCGAGACCCGAAGGAAAAGGCTCATATCTCCAGCTAGAGGGGCAACTCGGCCAATTGGGCCCAGGCCAAGCCCATTTGGATAGTGGTCGGTTTAACGATGCTCAACGGTGGCTCCAACCTTCAGCAACCATGGCGTTGCGGCGCCCACAGACTCGGGCTTTCGTCGTATTAATAATGACAGGGCGGATGTTTTTGGCCCATGGCCCTCGTAGGACAGCAGAGGAACAGTCTATTCGGGATGGGAAAGCTGGTCTCAGGGAAATGGTCGGGGCTTCTGGGGCTCACGCGTTGAACGAATCAAGACAGCGGACACTATGGGATACAATGGATGGGCATGGCGGGGCACCCAGCCTCAGGTCTTCAATCATCAGCTCGCGTTCCCCCCCCGCACTGAGGCGAGAGGAAACCCTCCACAATAGGAAGGAGGTAGAGGAGGAGGAGGAGGAGAGGTGGAGGAAGGAGTAGGAGGCGGAGGAGGAGGCGGATTGAGGATATGAGGAGAGGAGAGATACCTGTTGGAAGCTGCTTCGTCTCTTCTTGGGGAGGGCTTCCGAGTGTCGTTCCCCCCCCCCCCCCCTTTCTTTATGTATTTATTCTTTTTTTATTATTTTTATTATCCTTTTCTTTGTTTTTCCCCCCCCCCATTTTTTTAAGAAAAATAATATTCGGTATTTAATAATATAGATAAATTTTTGTTACTAAAATTTTTTTTTTTTAATCTTTATATTTATTAAGAAAATAACATAATTATATCTTAATTTATTATTAATATTTTAATTTTTATCTTTTATTATTATTAAAATTTAACTTTAACATCAAAAAAAGATATATTTATAATTATCGGTATATTTGTTTATTTCTTTAGTTTTTCGGAGGGGCCTCCTCTGCTTGCGAGGGAAGCCCGGGCGATCCGGCGTGCGCTCGTCCGGCATCCACGTGCTGCAACAGGTGCACATTGTTCGTCTCTAATTCTTCGAAAGCTCGTCGATGTTTGTTGGGGGGCCAAGATCCGTTCATGTCTAATGTTGCTTCATCCTGGGCCTCTTCCTGGCCACGAGGGGGCCAGGGACAATTAGAAACGGGCACACTTTGAAAATGAGCGCGATTAGAAATGAACGACGTGTAGGCTCCCGCAGTCACGGATAAGAGTGATCGGCGGGCTGGCTGGGCTTCAGAACCCATGGAGCAATGCGAAGCTGGCGCCCAGAAGGAACCAGAGCAGCCAACCACGTGGAAGCGCGTTGATTCCACAACGCATCGCTTTCTCAATGTGTGGCCGCGCGAGCGTGGCGAGCAGGGTGACCAGGATGAGCAAGAGGCGGGAGAGAGTGAGGGAGAGGGCGTAGGAGGATTGGTAGGGCGAGGAGTGGGGCGAGGAGGAGCAGGGCATGGAGAGGAACAGCCCAGGGCCAAGCGGCCCTCGAAATGCTCACAGTGCATCTGCGGGGACTGCTCGTACTTCCTAGGGGGCATCGCCTAGTCCCCAGGTACTCCTCGACCGAAGTGGCCGCAGGTCCACGCACCTCTCCTGATGGGCCTGTTTTCCACCACCACCACCATAAGTTGGAGGGGGGAAGGAGGAGGAGGAGGAGGAGGAGGAGGAGGAGGAGGAGGAGGAGGAGGAGGAGGACCCCCACCCCGTCCAACTTATGGTGGTGCTGGTGGAAGCCAGGCCCATCACCTCCCAATCCCTGGAGGCTCGCGCACGGTGTGGGCGCCGATGGCTTTTGGCACGGCGACGCCGCGGGCCCTCGGCGGGCCGCGGCGGCCCGTGGCGCCGCCGTCCTTCGCCCCGGCGGCCCCCGGCGGCCCTCCGGCGGCCGCGGGCCGCCCCTCGGCCGCACTTTGATCGTCGGGTGGGTGTAAGTGCGGTAAGAGCGTTGTATATCCGATGAAATCGTTTCAACGAAGATGTATGTAGGTTCATGCTAGTTGACCTCACATATTCAACATATATAAAATATCGAACTTCGCATTCATCTACTTAACGTTTTGTTAGATAAGTATATTCAACAACATACCATACATACTACTCACAGAACCATCCATCTTATCAACTGAGCTATCGGGTACCACTGCCAAGATATATCGATACATACACCTCAACATACCCAACTTAGTAGCTAAGTCAGCTAAGTCGATGTGGGCTGTCCGATTCGGTTAACCCGAAATTTGCATAACTTTCTATGTTTTGCATGTTTGTTCTTGATATTGCTATGTTTCGGGAAAAAAAAAAAACACAAAAAACGTTTTAACAACTACAACACAACAGTTTTTCAGGACAGGGCGCCGCAGGTCGACGCGCCGAGCCGCCCTCAGGACGCCTGCGGGGCGCGGAGGGGAAGGGGGGAGAGGGAGAGGGGGGGGGATCAACTATTCTTCAAACTGCCTCCCCTCGGCGGCCATCACCGCCTCCCCTCTCCTCTCCTCGTTGTCGGCGGCCAGCCCGCCCCCGCTCCCTCCTGCCGCCTTCCCTCCCCGAGCCCGCCTTCCTTCTTCGGCGGCATATCCGCCCCTCCCTCCTGCACCTCTCTATCGAAGGGCGGCGCATCCGCCAGCGGCATATCCGCTCTCGCATGCGCTCGTTTTTTCCTTTTTCACGTGATGGCGAGCACATAGCCATCGTCCTGTAGTCGCCGATAAGCCGCCCAGGCTGGCGGGATCAGCTCGGCGGGCATCACGGCGACGTCGCCGCGCGGCCGCCACAGGGACGCGCCTGGGCATGGCGCGCGCACCCATTCCAGGGTCTCCACCAGCAGGTAGCTGGCGGCGCCAGCCTGCGCGCAGCAATGCACGATGTACGCCTCGCCGTCGCCCAGGAGAAAATCCTGAGGGCAGCAACGCCTCGATTTTTGGGGGGGCACACGCATGTGCACCCCTAAATACCAAGGTTGGTTGCGCCGTCTGTCCTGGCTGCCGTGCATCTGGCCGTCGATCGACGCCTCTCTGCTGGTCCACGTTTCAGCCCTGCGGAGGGGTTCCTCCTCCTCCTCCTCCTCCTCCTCCTCCTCCTCCTCCTCCTCCTGGCGGCGAGCCGCCTCGGCGGCAAACCGCCTTCCCCTCTCCCAGCCCATCTTCCTCCACAAAGGGCATGCAAGGTTGCGCCCCGAGTGCCCGAACGTACTGTCCAGCTCTGGCGTGCGCCACGCTTTGGCGCGGGAGCGCGGCGCCTCCTTCGCTTCCTCCAGGAAGCAGGCGAGCATCGCCGTCAAGGCCGACCGCTCGAAATTCTCAGGGTTGTCGATCTCCTGCGACCTGGACCGAAGCAGGTTGTGCTTCCGCTCGAGTACGAAGGCGTCCAACCAGATGCCGTCCTCCGCAGGCTGGTCGGGGACGTGCCACAAATAATGATGCTTCGGCTTGATCAGGGCTGGCCCGTGCGCGGCTTTGTGCAGCGCCAAGGAAATCGAAACGGCCTTGGTCCAGACAGCTATCAAATTCGGCACGGCGCCGATCCTCAGGACGTAGCCGAACCGCCTGCCACCTAAGCGCTCGAGGATGCGCGCGGGCCGACGCGGTGCATCCTCGAACGCGCAGGCCAGCGTTTGCGTTTCAGCTGCGGCCGCATGTCCTTTTGCCCTGCATGTACAATTCGAGCATCTTCGCCATCGCCTCGAACGACCGCGCCGCAGCGTTCGCCATGCCGCTGGGACGCAGCTCTGTGTGCACCCAATGACGAATCAAAGGGAACACGGCCAAGCAATCCGACGCCTTGCCCACGAAGTGCGACGCCTTGCAGGTCGCTTTCTTCCGAGCCACGCTGAACAGAAACGCTGGCGGTTTCCTGCCGCGTCTGCCAGTCCGCCACGCCGAGCAGCGATCCCGCCACGTTCCCCACGCGTCGGGGATGACATCCCTCACCGCCTTGAGGAGCGCAAAGATTTCGACCTGCAAGGTCCCGCCGCTGGCCAGCATGGTATGCATGGGGTCCCTCACGTATGTGCTCGGCGGCGCCACCGTCCGCAACGCCTGGCACGCCACCAGAGAACGGTCATCCAGAGTGATGCCCATTGCCGTCTCCTTCGGGGGCCGGAACATCAGAAGGGAAGGAAGGGGGGGACATCAGAAGGGGATCGATGGAAATGTTTTCCTCCCTGGCTCCAGTCTCTCGATGTTCGCTCTGGTTGTCGTGTCCCGCAGCGACGCCAAATCATCATATTGCTGCAAAAACTCGTCTGACGACAGCGGGTCAAAGCGCGACGAGTCAGCGCACCAGAGAGGCACGAGGTAATCATCGTCGTCGTAGTCTGCAAGACATTCCGCCTGATCCAGCACAACGTTCTTGC